TTGAGTACCCTTATTGTCTTCATACTCATGACCCAAATTTCAGGTATTGTTACATGTGAGTTTTTGATGATTTTCAGCGTTTATTGTTAGTACATAAACCAATATCTGCGTGTAAAATACAAAAAAATACTCATCATGATGCCCCAACATCTAGGAACAAGGTGCATATTTTTTCAGATTTTTAGCTCTCTTCCTGTTGCCTCAGGACTTTTCTATGTCAGTAGTTTTCTTTACCGCCGGGTAAAGATTACATTTGGTGTAGTGTGACCATATCCCAAAACTACCAAACAACCTTTGTACTTTCCCACCGCTCCAGAAGGTAACAATTTTTGTTTGAAAACCCACATTGAACATAGAACCTTTACATTTTTTGGACGTGGGACCAACTTCCATGTGCCCAATCGCATAAGAGTCTCAATTTTGGTCGAAGCTGCCTTTTTCCAGTCAGCCGCTTCTTCTGTATCAATAGCCTTTTGGTATGATTTAGGCTCTGGGGCTGTAACATCAATAAGAAGTGCTGAATGTTTGGTAAGGAAAGATGACAGAGTGTATCGTTTAGGCGGAACACTGACTCTTGTCGTTCGGCGCAGAGGTGGTTGTGGAATTACAGGAGCACACCGTTTACGAGTAGGAGGTGGTAAAGTTGGACTGGAAAGAAGTCGTTTATGCGTGTCATCTTGAGTAGGTCCATCATTTGAAACAATATGACGCGAAACAACTGGAGGTGAATTCTGAGGTAAGATCTCAGATTGAATATCTTGAGGTGAAATAGCTTGAGGCAAATCATCTTGAGGTAAGTCTTGAAGTTGAGGTAAATTAGAAATAACTTGAGGTGAATCATCTTGAGGTAAGTCTTGAGGTGAATTATCTTGAGGTGAATTATCTTGAGGTGAGTTATCTTGAGAATCTTGATGTGAATTATCTTGAGGTAAGTTCTCATCTTGAGGTGATTTTTGAGGTGAAAGAACCGGAGATGAAATCGGATTAGGAACAGATGTGATTCAACGAGGTTGGACTGGTTCCAAAATGGAAGATAGATCCGGCCAAGGTAGGTTTATTAAATCATTTGGTTGTTGACTAGGAGTCTTACAGAAAGGAAAGTTAGTCGGAAAGAACTTGAAAGACATCGTTTTCACAATTAAATGACGAGCATGATTGTAAGCTACAATGTTTTTTCCTTCTGGTACAGCGTATAGGAAAACTGCCTCTTGGCACACAGGCGATAGTTTTGAACATAGAGGTGGCGGTAATAGATATTGAACTGAACAACCAAATGGAGCAAACAAACCTACATCATTGGTTGGTTGTTGAAGAGAAGAAAGTGGAGAGCATAGGCCAGTGTTTGTTTTGGTGGGCAGATTGTTGAAACAAAAAACAATATGTTGGAGACATTCAGGCCAGAAATATAGAGGAACCTGTGATGAAGAGAACAAAGTGCGAAGCCTTTTGGAAGCAGTACGATTCCAACACTCTGCCAGGCCATTTGATTCAGGCGTATAGGGAGCGCCCTGAATATGAGTTATACCCTCATCAAGGCAAAAATCCATCATGTGACAATTCACATACTCAGACCCATTATCTGTTCTTAAACTCAACACCGCAAAACCAAACTTGTTTTGAACATAGTTAACAAACTTTTTGAAATAAAGGTGAAGTTGATCTTTAGTCTTCATTGCGTGACAAACAGTGAATTTTGAAAAATCATCTATAAACGGAACAAAATAAGGATAGCCTAATTTGGACTTGAGAGGAAGAAAAGCAACATCGGAATGAATTAAACCAAAAGGAATAGTAGATCTATGATTTGAACGGGAACAAAAAGTTTGTTTGTGAAGTTTTCCCCGACAACAGTGCAGACAATTCTTAACTTTGTCCACATCATCCTTTGATACATTAAATGTGATGCCTAGACTGTGTAAAGCTCGCTGAGTTCCATATTCTCACACCGGGGGAATTAAATAGTTCAAACCTGGATTGAACCGAGTTTCAGTGTCCGGGTTCAAAATTTCGTCAAATTGTGAAATTTGTTCACGACTCGTTTGCAATATGTTTGCCAAGTTCCCTCAAGCCGTACTCTGCTCAGCCTGTATATGTACAGTACATCATACAACAACAACACCCTTCAGCATCAGTCACCAAGGATTCACCAATTGTACAGAGGATCAAGAATAAGATTCAAGACTGAGGATGCATGACAAAGGGGAGATGGTTGAATGGTTGGAATCGGGGTTGTTGTTGTATGATGAAGCTGTACTTACACACGCGGGGCCAACAGAGTACCGCTGAAGGGAAACCGGCAAACCTATTGCAAACAAGTTGTGAACAAATTTCACGATTTGAGGAAATTTCAAACCCGGACACCAAAATTTGGTCCAATCCGGGTTTGAACTATTTAGTTCCCGCGGTGTCATTAGGAATCTTGTCATTGTTAGATGAAGAGTCAAGATTACCATCAGGTTCAGATAATTCATTTGTACAAAAACTTTACACTCAACTTTCAAAGCCTGAACATGCCCAAGATTTCAAGATACCTCAATTCGGTACATCAGCTCTTACAATTGCTCGTTATGCTTTAGATGTTACATATCAAGGTGAAGGATTCCTAGAAAAGAATAAAGATTCAGTACCAGAGGAACATTTGAATTTACTTTTTGCTACTCAAAATACCTTCCTGAAGGATGTTTTGGAGAAAGCTCAAGAGATTTGCAATTCACCTAATGCAGCTGCTACTAATACTCACAAATCATTACAAGTTAAACGTCAACCATGAATTAGTTTATCCAGATATCAACCAGCCATCATTTTCCAACTATAGGCAAGTAATTCAAATAAAACTGGACATAATTTGCTTTTAGCACAATTTTTGAGCTCTGCGCATGGGGCAGAAATCATTTCAGGATTCATTTGTGATTCCCTTCATTCAAATTCACATTCATCCGTTGGCTACTTTGCCCCCTTTTGCCTCATCTGACAATGCTTTGCAAGTCAATCCTCCCCTAGCTGATTTTCCTGAAGCACCCAACCTTGCTCCTACGTAGGTATGTGTGTCACACAAATCTCCTTATCAAAGGATCCAATGAATCCTCAATAAACATCATTTGAGATTCACCGGTAATCCTTGGCGGAATTGTAATAACATCAAATGGAAAGGACCAGGGTTGAGGTGGAAGTGGGGTCCGGGATATGGGTGTAACCGGTATGAGATCAACTGCAGAGAGTAAGAGTAGAGAAGTCAAGTGTTGGTCTTTTTAATTGTTATGTAGGTTATCGAGATTTGGTTTGTCATCCTCAGCGAAAGTGATTAGAAGTGAACTTTACGATGTCAAATAGTAACAGTCAAACTGATGACCCCTTACCTTCAAACTCACCAATTCATCCTCGTCAACATCTTGCTACCCTTCAATCCCATCAAGATATTATCACGGCTTTAGCTCAACTCGGTGAGCTTTATACTGCTTACCTCTTTGATTCAATCAAAGAATCTGAGTACTGATTTCAATTGACCAAAGTGCTGTTCACCAAATAAAATTCACGGAATTTAAGCTCAATAGATCTTTGGCCCGAAAGACTAGAACAGCCACTCACGCAGATAGACGATCTTAGGCCATCGGTCTCTTCACTCGCTCAAGATGCATCAACCCTTCATGAAGTGGTAACCAAACGGGCAGCTGTAGCGGAAAGAATATCAAGCAAGGCTCGCATCCTAGACCTCAAACGGAGCAGGGTCAAGGAATGCCTCGATCGGGTTCAAGCTGTCACACAACTTCAAGACGCCTCAATCGGTGTATTTCAAGCGATCGAGAAAGCTGATCGGGAAGCTGCTACACAACATATCCAACGTGTCAATGAAATCAATCCACGATTTGTACTTGATTTGCAGAAGCAGTGGTGGTAGACAACTTTATACAGTCTTTTGGATTGCTGTACTGAAGACAAAACGACCCTCATATGTTCATTTTGTCAGCCTACGACCGATATACCTGAACAACCTTCGATCGCTTTAGAAAACTTTACAAAACAATTAACTGGAATCTTCTTAAAGGCTTTCACTCAGGCTGCGAATTCAAAAGATGAAGCTACTACTAATTGATTCTTTGAACCCTTTCCACTCTTAGGGTCTAAAGCATCTGAGGCTGGTTTATCAGCTTACTCCGATTTTGTGCGACCTCAGCTACATATCAGAATGATATTGTCAATCACTCATTTAGTTTTGTAAGGTTTGAAATCCATGTGAACCCATGGGATCTTACAGTGACTGACTTTGTTTTGTTGATCTGGAATCTTGCACACGTCTTTGCTACCTAATCGATCTCAAGAACCATCACATTATCCATTAAGTCCTAACAGTCATTTTGCTTCATCATTTCAACACTCACATCAACATCATCATCAAGAGACGAACATGAGATGACTTCAGTTAGAACTCCTAATCAAGCCAATTCATCAAATAAAAATATGAAAAAACCATCCCAACAATGATCCTTGTGACAATAGCAATGATGAAGACAAACAAGCACCAAAGAATGATTCTGATAGCAATGAAGATTATGGTCAAGGTTTTGGGGTTTATCAAGGTATGTCTACTGTTGTCTTCACTAAATGCTTTGTTGATTTTTCTGTAACCGATCAATTTTGCTTTCAGCATTTCAATTCTTTGGACAATTGATAATCCAATAAACGTTACAAGGATCTCATCATCAATCTAACTGTATATTAACATGACCTGTATGCACAAAATTGAACCACTTCTAATGGGTATTTAAATTCACCTTCAACTACTGTAGTAGATAATCCAAATTAATTACAATTAGGTGAGTCAAGTAGTTCAAAGATACCAATGGAATGTAAAAATCAGATGATTGTCATTCAGATTACAAGGCCTTGCAATAATCACTTACCACACGGTGTTTTACATTGATCAATCGATTTTAAGAATTAGTCACGTGACCCGGTCCGTGACTGCGCAAGCGCTCGTCCAAATTTCAAAAATCGATTATCCTAACTTTTTTTGCACCCTTGAATCACCTTCTCCACGCGATAACGGTCAACATGGAGGTTGACAACGTGTCGGATACGGGCCAGGAGAAGCAGAATGTTCCAAAGAACATTTCTGCAACTCGCGACGCGTCCAACGCGTTTATCAACCCCGTCGGTCCCCAGGAACAGTCTAGATCGACGGAACCAACCACCCCCCTCATCTTTGACAAAGCCAACGTTTGTCAAAACGTCTCTCAATCTCTCTCGATCCAGTCGGCGGACCTGGGAAACTTCGCAAGGAAGAGATCCAGGCAGGACACGCCCGGTACGATCGCATCAGACCAAGCGTCTGCGTTAACGGGGAGTCCTAGGACAAACCGCATGCAGAACCTTTTCCCAGGAGGAGCTGAAACCCGAACTCTCAAAGAGTTGGTAAGCAAGCTCCTGGAAGTCGTTAAAGCCGGTTTACCGCTTGCGAACAAGTCAAAACAGGCCCAGAAGACATCGATCGATGTCGGAACCGCGGCAGACATCCTGGTACTAACAGGAGCCGTTTATGATCAAGTTATGATCGAAGACGCTCGCCGTAACTTTACGACCCCAGCAGCTCTTGCTGGGGCTGATCCAAAAAGCCGTCCCATTATATTCAAGGGCAAGGCCACCGACGATACGCTAGCCGCGCTCACCGAGCAAATGGCTTACTTAACATCAGCAGTGGAAAACCTGCAACCAAAACAACAACCAAAGAAGGGACTTACTGTGCCCTCCTATGCTTTAGCAGCGTCTAAACACACCCCGAACGCCACGGCAAGCCAAAAATCTGTGCCGGCCAAACCCCAAGCACAGAAGATGGCACCTAAAGTCAAACCGACGAATGTCATTTCGCTTGTTCACCTACCGGGATCCGAGATCTCACACCCAGGCCTATCCACCGCAAAGCTGATCCAAGAACTCAACCTAGCGCTCAGAGCCTATAACGTCAAGCTCAACCCCGAAGACGAGACATGTATTGAAGTAAAAAGCGTAAGACGTCACCCGTCTAACGATATTGACATGTACTTTGAGACGGCTGCTATAGCCAAAAAAGTCAAAGAGCTACTCCGGACATGGATCCAAGGCTTCTCCAAGTCTTCGAAGATGAAGGAAGAACGCCATGAGATTATAGTCAATGGTATTCCCACAACATTTGACCCGAATGTTCAAGATCACGTAGAAGAGCTACAAATATGTAACGCGGACCTTCTCAAAGATATGCTCTTTGTACGCTGGCTGAATCCAAAGATCTTGGAAGACCCAAACAAGAGACATTCATCCATCTTAATTGGCTTAAAAAGCGAAGAACAAGTTCAGAAATGCATTAACAATAAAATTTGGCATGGACGGGGTAAACACCTCACCTTTAGAAGTGGCCCACCCCCGCGCCGCTGCTACAATTGCCAAAAGATAGGACACACGGCGCCACCTGTGCCTACCCGACCCGTCGGGTATAAGTCGATAGGAAATGTGTACTTCCTATCGACTTATAGTCAAAACCCCCCTGTCCGACGCGCCGCCGCCCCGACGCGTCGGATTAAAACTCACCGCTAAGTACTTCATCCACCGCTACATGACGTGTGAGGACCTGTAACACCATCTATGCCCACATATTGGCAAATGGTCCAGGAAAACATATATCCACGCAAAATTCCAGGAATCAAATTCACACTGATGTGAATGTCATTCACATGGATCACGGATCAAAATCACACATATGTGATGACATACATCTGAACCATACATGTGAATTTTGCATAAAGGAAAAGTGTTAGATTCACACTGATGTGAACGTGAATCACATAGAGGTGAATCAATTCCAATCACCCCTTTACAATTACGTGTCACGTAAAGACTTAGTCACGGATCCAAATTCATATCACATATATATAGGTAATTATATATATGAGAGCATATTTCACCTCAATGTGAATACATTCCCGCATATGTTAAAGTGAATACACACTCACATATATGTGAATACACATTCACATATATGTGAATACACATTCACATATATGTGAATACACATTCACATATATGTGAATACACATTCACATATATGTGAATACATATCACCTATTTATGAATACACATCACCTATATGTGAATACACATTCCATATATGTGAATGCACATCACCTATATGTGAATACATATCACATAAATGTGAATACACATCACCTATATGTGAATACACATCACCTATATGTGAGTACATATCACATATACGTGAATACATATCACATATATGTGAATACACATCACCTATATGTGAATACATATCACATATATGTGAATACACATCACCTATATGTGAATACACATCACCTATATGTGAGTACATATCACATATACGTGAATACATATCACATATATGTGAATACACATCACCTATATGTGAATACACATCACCTACATGTGAATACATATCACATATATGTGAATATACATCACATATATGTGAATACACATCACCTATATGTGAATACACATCACCTATATGTGAATACATATCACATATACGTGAATGAACATCACATATATGTGAATACACATCACATATATGTGAATATACATCACATATATGTGAATACACATCACCTATATGGAATACACATCACCTATATGGAA